TACCCAGATGACATCATCCTTATGGCAGAAAGTGAAGAGGAACTGAAGAGTCTCTTGATGAAAGTGAGAGAGGAGAGTGAAAAATTTTGTTTAAAACTCAATATACAAAAAACTAAGATCATGGCATCCAGTCCCATCACTTCATGGCAAATAGATGGGGAAACAATGAAAATAGTGACAGACTTTATTTTTTGAGGCTCCAAAATCACTGCAGATGGTGACTGCAGCCATGAAATTAAAAGATGCTTGCTCCTTGGAAGAAAAGCTATGACCATCCTAGACAGCATATTAAAAAGTAGAGACATTACTTTATCAATAAACGTCCATCTAGTCTAGGCTGTAGTTTTTCCAGTAGTCATGTATAGATGTGAGAGTTGGATTATAAAGAAAGCTGAGCACTGAAGAATTGAGACTTTTAGAACTGTGGTGTTGGAGAAGATTCTTGAGAGTCCCTTGGACTGCAAGGAGATCCAATCAGTCAATCTTCAAGGAAATCAGTCCTGAATATTCACTGGAAGGACTGATGTTGAAGCTGAAACTCCAATACTTTGGCCACCTGATGAGAAGAATTGACTCATTGGAAAAGACACTGATGCTGGGAAGGATTGATGTCAAGAGGAGAAGGGGACGACAGAGGATGAAATGATTGGATGGCATCACCGACTCGGTGGACATGAGTTTGAGTAAGCTCTAGAGTTGATGATGGACAGGAAGGCCTGGCGTGCTTCAGTCCATGGTTCACAAAGAGTCAGACACTACTGAGTGACTGAACTGATAGCCAATTAAGAATATTGTGATGGTTTCAAGTGAACAATGAAGGAACTCAGCCATACATATACATGTATTCAGTCTCCCTCAAAGTCCTCTCGCATCCAGGCTGGCACATAACATTGACCAGAGGTCCATGCAGTAGATCCTTGTTGGTTATTCATTTTAAATATAGCAGTGTGTACATGACCTTCCCAAAATCCCTAACTATCCCATCACCCTGGCAGACTTAAGTTTATTTTCTAAGTCTGTGAGTCTCTTTCTGTTTCATAAATAAGTTCATTTGTATCATATCTTTTTAGATACCATCTATAAGAGATGTCATATAATATTGCCTTTTTACAAAAAATTATTATGCATTTATTTTTATTCCTAAACTATTTATTTTTAAAAATTATTTGGGGTTTTATAAAGCAGAACCATTATCTACCTAACATTCTATACCTGTCACTTTTCAACCTACCTTAAACTTTAGAATATATTTATGTTGGTAGGTAGCACTGATTCATTTTAACTAGTGTGCAAATTCCACTGGGTGAATATACCTCAAAAGAATTAATTTACCAGTTAATAGACACTTGAATTGGGCTCAGTTTTTTGTTGCTACAACCAATACGTGTATAAATACTCTTGTACCTGTGTCTTAGGTCACATGAACAAGAGTGTATACACCTGAGAACAGAATGAATGTAACATACTTGAGAATGGAAATGTGCATTTACAAGAAAATGCTTTAAAAGAGGTTGTAACAATCGCTACTCTTAATAGTAATAGCAAGATAGTATAATTATTAACACTTAAGTTTGCTGGTTATCTTACTTTTTACTTATCTACTGGTTGTCAATCATCTTAATTTGTACTTAAATGGTTACTAACTAGACTGAATAGATGAAATAGATACAGACATAGATATAGATGAATGGGACTATTCAAGGATTTTATCCAGATTTCTGTTGAATTTTTGTGATTTTTTCTCATTAACTTGGGTTAAACCTTCATTATTTTTTGGATGCAAGTATTTTGTTGCTTTGTGTGTTTCAACTCTTCTCCTGTTTTATAACTTGCCTTTTTGTAACTTGCATAGTATCTTTGGATAAATGTGTTAGATTTTAATGCAATTAAATTTACAGTCACATCCTTTATGTCATTTTGTCTTCCTTGGTTGAGATGGCAGTTGTGAAAGGGGAAGTTAATGCATAAACACCCTTACCTGCCTGGATATTATAAAAATGTTTTAACATTTTTAATGTTATATCTTACAATTTGGTCTTGAATATATGTGGAATTCTTGCGAAGGGGGATTCATTTTCTTTTTTCTTCATATGAATAACCAAAAGATTTATACCATTATATCATTTTCCCCAGTTTCCAAAATGTGTTCTCTATCAGATTCTGTTTCAACACACGGGTGCTTAGAACTCTTTCTTCTGTTACGCTGAACTATTTAGCTACTTTGCTTTAATATGACATTGCCTTCATTACTGTACTTTTGCTACAGAACTAGAGGCCTGACAGGGTGAACTGTCCCACCCAGCTTATTCTTCCTCAGAGTATCCTGTATATTCCCCAGGCCTTTGTACTTCCAAGTAGATTTCATTACCAGCTGATCAAATTCTAAAACAACCTATGGGGAGTCAGATTGGGATTGCATTGGATCTTCAGATCAGCATGAGAAGATTTGACATTTTTAAATATTGGGCCATTGTATTGCTAAATACGGTACGTCTATCCATTTAAGTCTTTAAAAAGACTTCAGACATATTTTATTACTTTAATAGGTGTACATCTTTAAAGATGATGTATGTACACATATATTTTATTGCTATTGAAAGTAAAGCTTATTTTTATTGTTTCTGCTTGAATATGGAAATGCAATTTAAAATATATTGATTTTATATGTAGCAATTTTTCTAAACTTTTATTTTTAATAATATGTTGGTTCTTTGTGCATGCATGGTAAGTAACTTCAGCCGCGTTCAACTCTGTGAGGCCCAGTGGACTGTAGCCTGCCAGGCTCCTCTATCCATAGAAATCTCCAGGCAAGAATACTGGGGTGAGTTATCTTTTTCCTTCTGCAGGGGATCTTCCTGACCTAGGGATCTTTAGGGTTTTCCATATTGACAATCATGAGCCACAAAATACCATGTGGCTCATGGTATTTTTTTCCCCCTCCATGTTGATTTTTCCCCTTATTCTCTTGGCTAGGATTTACGTGGTAATACGAAATAGAATCAATGAGAGTGAGCATTTTTGTCTTGTTCATAATTTCAAAGAGAATATTTCTAATGATGAAACATGAAGAACAATATGTGCCATAAATTCAAGTAGATATGCTTTATCATGTTAAGGAGAGTTCCTTATATTTCTTTTTTTCAAGGAGTTTTCATCATAAGTGGGTATTGAGCTTTATTATTTACATTTTATACATGTATCCTCTAACCTTTTGAAATGCATGGTCCTTCTGAGACACATCTATGTTATGTGTATCAATATTTCAGTGCTTTTTATTGTTGAAGGGTATCCCACTATTTGGATAAATTTACCAGTTTGTTTATACATTCACCCATTGAAGAACATTTGGATAGATTCTAGTTTTTGGCAATTATGAATAGATTTGCTAGACTCATTTATACAGGTTTTTGTGTGAACGCAATCTTTCATTTCTCTAGGATTAATTCTTTGGATTGAAATTGTTGGGTCAAATGGTGAGTATTCAATGTATGCAAGACTTTAAAGAAATTACCAAAGTGTTTTCCAAAATGGCTATTCCATTTTGCAATCCCACCATCAGAGTAGGAAAGTCTGAGTTGTTCTGTATTATCACCAGCACTTAGTAATTCTCCAATTCTAAAAGGTGTATAGTAGTATCTCATCATGGTCTTAACTTGCATTTTCCTAATGGTTAATGATGTTGAGCACAGATTCATGTGTTTATTTTTCATTGCTATATATTTTTGAGAAGTAATTGTTGAAGTCTTTTATTTTTAAATTGGACTATTGTTCTTACTATTGAGCTTTGAGAAATCTTTATATATTGTGGATACAAGTCTTTTATTTATTATCTCATTTTCAACTATTTCTGTTTATTGTTTGTATATCCATTCTGTTAACACTATCACTGACAGATTTTTTTTACTTTGAAAAAATCTAATTTATCATTTTTCTCCTTTTATGAATCATGATTTTGGTCTTTTATTTAAGCTGTCAAAATTTATAATAATTTAAGTTATCAAAATATCTATATGTAGAGTTATTTATAACAATTTCATTAGTATTTATGGAGTCTCACTTTACAATATATAATCAAGTTGTAACTCATGTCTTCTTTCTTCTCTTGTTTGCCTAGATAGATATTTATTTATGTTATTGATGGTTTTCAAAGAGCCAGTTTGTGGTTTTACTTATTTTCTCTATTGTTTTCCTGTTTTCAATTTTATTGACTCCATCAGTTTTTATTTCATATATTTTGAAGCTTTATTGTTAGGTACATAAGCATTTCAATTTGCTTTGTCTCCTGGTAAATGGACCCTTTTGTCATTCCATGTATCCCATCTATACCTGAATATTTTCTTTGCTTTCAAGATTACTTTGTCTGATATTAATATAGCCATTCCATTTTTATTTTCTTTAGAGTTTTGAAAGTATATATTTTTTCATTTGTTTACTTTTAACCTACTTATATCATAATATAAAGCACTACTTGGCTTTATTCTTTATTATCTAATTTGATATGCTCTATCTTTTAATTATCGTGTTTAAATCATTTATGTATAATGTAATTTTTTTTTATTTTAGAGTCAAGTCTACCATTTTGTTATTATAATGTGTTACCCTTTTTTATCTCCTTGTTTTCTCTTTCCTGTCTTATTTTGAATTATTTAAATCATATTTTATCCCATTTTAATTAATCTATTGTGTTTGTTTTTACTATATCTCTTTTGAAGTTTTATTTTTGTTGCCCAAGGCATTACACTATTCATACTTACCATTTCACTTTCTACTTAGAATTACTATTTTGCCACTTCAAGTTAATGTAGAAAATTTACCATCCTACGTATTATTTTACACTCTCCTGCTCTTGTTGTTTTGACTTACATTGCACTTTAAAATATCAAGAAGCCCCATCAGACAATGTCATAATTTTTGTATTCAATTGCCAAATGTGTTTTGAAGACTTTATGAGAAAGAAAATAATCTATATGCCAAGAATTTTACTAAAAATAATTTTTTTGACTATTTTTTGTTGTTCTTTATCCCTGGTGTTCCAAGTTTCGCTCTAGGGTCGTTTTCCTTCCATTTGAAGAACATTCTTCAGGATTATTTTTAAGCAATAAGCAAATTTACTTAGTTTCCTTTCATCTGAGAGTATCTTCATTTCACCTTCATTCCTGAAGGATATTTTCACTGACTATAGATTTCTGGGTTGACAGCTCTTTTCTCTCAGCACTTTAAAATATTGCCCACTTCCTTCTTGCCTCCATGGCTTTAGATGAGAAATACCCTGTCATTCAGATAATTGTTCTTCTAGAAGTAATGTGTCATTTTTTTCCTCTAGCTCTTTTCAGACTTTTTTCTTTAAGTTTTCAACAGTTCGATTTTGATGTGTCTGAGAAAGGGGTTCTTCAAATTTAGAAATTAATTGGTGCGAACGCCTATGACAGCTGGAGTAGTGGAGGAAAGACTTCAGATCTCAATGTAGATTGGATTCCTGGAAGCAAATAGAGGAAAGAAAGAGGATTGAATAAGAATAGTCTTAGAGTGTTCTAAGAAGAGTTTGGCCAAACCAATGGTTGTTCTTGAGCCAAAGGTACTTACTGGTAGAATCCTACATCTTGTAGGAATGGGTCTGCATCAGTACACCCATTGTGCTTGGTCATTGACTAGGGGCAAACTTTGAGAGGCACAGCCTTGGCACAGATATGGTGACATGCCTCAAGGAGCAGTAGCTGGATTCACTGCTATGCTTCCTGAAGCAGAAGATCTGAGCAGCACATCTCCATGGCCACCAGATCTACTTTGTAGAGAATCACCCTAGCAACCATGTAGAGAGTAGAAAGTAGTGACCACTGGTTCTGGTTAACTGCAGAAACAATGGTGGGAGAGTACAGTGATCATGTTGAAGCTGGTGAGAAGAGATCACAGTTTGGATCTATTTTTAACATAAGATCAATGAAATTTTCTGAGAGGGTAGTTTATGTGTTTAGGATAAAATGCAGGACTAACTTAAGTTTTTTTACTTGAACAGCTCAGAAACAGTCATAGAGTCAGAAACTTAAGGTTCTGTAAGAATTGGAGGAAGTCATAAGGAGATATAAGAGGAAGAAATTGAATATGGAATTCAGTATTTCTTTACAAGCAGTTAGGATTCAAAGAGGGAGAGAAAGAAAAGCTTTTTAAAGAATATATACAGCTTTTAAGAAATGAGAGAGGAAAACTTAAGGTTAATATGAATATAAAAGGATAAGATCAAGGGAAATAAGGAGAGTGGTAATTAACCTGCAGACCTTTACATAAACAAAGCTAATGTTTTCCACTGTCTGGGTCAACAGGGTAACCTTACATGCCTGTGTGACAAGACACTTAATTGTCAACTAAAATCAAACCTAGCCTTGGAGTCTTTCCTAAAAATGAATCCTTAGCAGGTCAGACTTTTCAGAGACTCTTACTCTATCCCCTCAGTAAATGGATGGCAGGATTGAGGACAGGTAAGGGAAGATCATAAACCCAAATCACAAAGTCCTTCATCTCAAGAACTGCAATAAGCCCAGCTAGTCTGATGTCCTGTCTCATATTTCTCCTCCACTTCTGAATCTAAGCCAGGCTTCCCAATCTTCATCAGGTGCATATTCCACCAGGCACTCAATTCTCCAGAACATCTCTGCAGGCAAGGTTAGTCTACTCTGATCAGTTCCTGAGATTCTGTAGATAAGGAGTAGTTCACCAAAATGAGTACAGCCCTAAAGAATTTGCAAGATGACATCAAAGAAGCAGATTGTTCTCAGATATGTTAACCTTACTGCCCCTTCCCCAGGCTTCTTCCCCAGCCTTGAATAGTGGATACATCAGAAACTGTCCCACTTTATTTCCATATTCAAATCCCAGTAAGTTTGATGTCCATCTCATATACCTCCATCTTCCGTAAGGTCTCCCTGACAACATAAGCTGTCCTTTATCAACATAAACAATCTATTTCTTTCTATAGCCAAAAAAGGGTGTCTGTATTTCTCTTAGAATTCATCAGCTTCTACCTTGTGTTAGATTTCATGTCCTCTGTCAGTCAACTTTGCTTCTGTAATAGACAACTGCAAAAAAAACCCCAGCAAAACCACTACAATATTGTAAAGTAATTAGCCTCCAACTAATAAAAATAAATGGAATAAAAAAACCCAGCAAAGTAAAGCAGCATCCTTTTCTCACTCATGTAGGGTGCTAGTTGACTCAGCTCCAGGATACAGCCCTGTCAGGAGAAGCTCTACTGCATATGTCTTCTCATACTGGGACCCAGGTGGATAGAGCAACAAATGCTCTTTGGAACCTGCCATTCTCATGGCAGAGGGCAGAAGTACAATGGAAGACACTTGCATTATCTTTGAAAACTTTGGATATAATATACTCCCACTTCCTATTGGCCAAGACTAAGTCAAAGAGGTAACAATGACACAACTTCCACAGGAAGAAGAAGCAAGCTACATGGCAATGAGTGGGGATGTACGAGGAAATCTTTAAGAGCAATTATACAATCAACCGTGTCTTAGCCACCCTGGTTTTGAGCCTCTGGAGAGCAGAGCCTGGGAACAATTCTACTGTGACCTCTATAAGATCTAGCACTGTGGCTAATGTGTAGTAGGTACTCAGCCAGTGTCTGATTAATGAATAGGCATTTTTCACAACCAAACTACAAGGCGACCTATTGTTTTATGAGAAAACATCAAGCTGTCTGGATTTTTCACTCTTCATTTATTTCCAGCAAGTTATCACTTTCTGAAGAGGCAATATTGTCTTGATTCCAAAATCTCCCTGAAGTATTATACTTCCTTTCCCGTGACCTTTGAGTGTTCATGGATCAGCTTAGATGGGGGAAGCAGTGTGGCAGGCAGGGGAAGATTGGTGTCAAAAGCAAGCATCCTTATAGCCCTAGGTTGAATTCTGACCTTGCAAATGATATGTTTCATGGCCACAGCAATTCACTTCACCTCCAGAAACCCACTTACTCAACCTCAACATGAGGACAAGAATATCTGACTTGCTCATGTGTAAGTAAAAAGCACATGATGTCCTTAGTTCCGTAAATAGTATTATTTATTTTTTTACAAAATTACTGAATACAATGATAATAGATAGAGTTTGTGTGGCATCTTTTAATATCTAGTGTTCTTTCTCATGGTAAATCAAATCCCAAAAGCTGTGTTTCAGGCCCTCTGATCTTTCAAGTTTTGGTTTCTTCTATAAAATGCATAGTTTGTTCCATAGTTTTCAGTTCCCCTCTACTGATGTCCTGGTTGGGGCCATTCCAGCAATTGTGATTCTGCTGTGGGACTTGCAAGTTTCTTTAGGAGACCATAAAGCAGGGGTGACTTTGACAACACAGGCCACTGACTTACTGTGTGATGCCAATCAAGCCTGTTATTTTTCCAGGCTCACTTTCCCCATATTTCATATGACAGAGTTGGGCAACTTGATCTCATAATTTCATTATTAGAAGTAATTTAGATTAGTTATATAATGATCATGATTGCAGATAGCCATTTTGGAGATTCTAGGTATGGAACTCACCACTATGTATTGCTTTATCAAGTGGTCCAAAATGTTTTAATCTAGTAGCATGACCTAGAGGAAAAGATGAATTTGAATGCTCTGCATCAGGTAGGAAAGATAGTGGAATCAAATAACCACTGGAATTCTTTAGTCTCCAACTTCTTTGCCAATGGATGGGTTGATCTTCATTCTGAGAAGACAGCTTTCCAACATGTTACTCCAGAAACTTCCAGAGTGGTAGTTTGGGTGGAATATTCTTCTCTGCTGGAGTCTGTGAGAAATGTTTGGGTTTGAGCAGAAGCCTCCATCTTCTTGAATTTGCATTTTCTCATCCTCTTTCTACCACCAATAGCAGTGATTAACTATCCTTAATTCTCATCTTTGAAGCAAATTCCTGCTCTGGCATTGACAGCCAAATAATCCCATTTCAGGAGCAAGTGAACAAATGACCTGGGAAGACCCCAAAGGGAAAAGCACACAATCAATTAGGTCTAATTTGCACACAGTGAGCCTGAGATTTACTTGTATCATGTTTGGGTCTGTGCACTTGAGGTACCACTACTCCAGGTAACTAGGCACTCTACCCCATGCCCAGGCTCTTGGGCAGAGCTGAAGCATATTACTGACCTTTTATTCCAGAACACATTTTATCATCTAATAAAATGCCTCAGAATCATCTACAGAGTTTTGTCAAAATGCATACTCCTGGCTCATGTTCCAAAGATTGTAGCAGACTTAGTCTCCCAGATAGAAATGTAAAGCATTTCCAGTGTAACATATCTCAAATAGTTTTGTAAGAAAGGTAATATGCAGTGTACTATGATTACCCCAGTTGACATCCGTAACTTTATCCTCGGGGCTGAGGACAACTCAACCCCCAGACTTTACTCCCATCTCTCAGAGGAACCAGCTGTCATTGATGGCACATGTATATCAGCATACTTGGCTTTCTTGCTGATATTTACTTACCTTTTTGTTTCCAAGGAAATACTTTATGCCTTTGTCTATGGTTAGTTCTCCAAGGTACCAACCTGTTAGCCCTTTTTCCCTAGTGTTCTCTGAGATACCTCAGTGATCTACGATTTCACACCCCTATGTGGATGGCTGTAGTTATATTACTATTCCAAAACACGTGTAGGGATTCTTGCGTTTTCTTAGGACAGCTGGCCAGAAGACATGGGATGTCAGCTGGACAAACAAGGTGGATAAGATTGGGTCGGAGGCAGAAGAAGAATAGAAGGAGAAAGGACCACACTGGTGAAGGACAGAGAGGTGAAGCTGGAGGACGCTGCCGCAGAGTCCAGATGTTCAGGGTATGACGGAGATTTGTAAAATGGATGTGACATCCACAGGAGAGGCTTCCTGAGCTCCCTGCTGGAAGTTACTCTTCCCTCCTCTGAATCCTGCCAGCATTTTATCTGCCCTCTCCTATGGCATTCAAGCCTTTCCGTTTTATAACTTGACTCTCTGTTCATGGACTGTTTCTACTAATAGATCCTGGATCCCCTTTAAGGAAGAAAGACCGTGGTAACAATGGGACCAAAAACATGGATAGATTGAGAATCATTAACACCTGGGTTTTAAGATTAGACTCTGCTACTCACTACCTTTGGGGCCTTAAGGAAGTCCCTTAAATTCTTTAAGTGTTGGTTTTCTTATATATAAAGTAGAGAAGCCAACAATATCAGATTCAATGATGGTTAAAACAGAAAACTGAGATAATGTACAAAAAGCACTTAGCCCAGCATCTGGCACATGGTAAGCATTCAAAGTTAAATTTTCTTTTGAAAATTTAGAATTTCAAAGTTAAATCTTCTTTTTTCTTAAGAAGAATTGATGTTAGAATTATCTTTCTCTCTTCGGCTGAGTCCCTTCTGGAATTCTTCCTTGGCCACGTTACGATCCCTTGTATCTTGGGTGCACTTTACTGGCAGCTGTCTTCTCTGCAGTGACACAGGGATCTGCCTGCTTCCTTCTAGTGTGGGTTCTATCCATAATTCATGGGTTTTGAAGAAGAGGAGAGAACATTGGGAATCAGAGAAAGAGGGACAGACTTCCACACCCATTTGGTGGACAAAACTCAGGGGCAAGACGCAACCTAACTACAAAGGAGGCTGATAAAGTCGTCTTCATTTGAATCCGACTTGGGAAATACCCATTTCTAGACCGCTACACCATCATCTTTGAAGACATCCCACTCATTATTTGCACATGGTAGCACTGAGGTTGTACAA